TAAAATCTTTCAAATGTTGAGAAATTTTTTTTTTAATGAATTTAATACAGAATGAAGTAGAAAGTATCACGCTGTAATCTCTTTATTGTAGATATAAACAATTTATAGAAATATCTAAAAAAATTAGCACTAATTGATTTTTAACAGATTGTGGCTACCCTGTAGTAAGAGTTATCAACAAGCAAATATAACTGAAGTTATCATTAAAATATATGATAAAACATTTACCTTAAGTTTCGTTTATATCAGTGGCTAATTACGACTAAAGAGAAAATTTCATTTTTTGAAATGTCTCTTCCAAACAAATTATTTGAAATTTTTGAACGATTTTTAAGATCGAAGGCCGAATGCCCTTAAAGGTTCAAATTTCAAGATGAACAACTGGGGGAATTTGAAGATATAAGAGAAGCACAGTGTTCACTTTATTATTATAGGTTTATATACTTTTTAGAACAAAAAGCAAAATTAATGCTTCCACCCCAAAAAAAAAGATATATAAACTTGAAAAAAAAACGTGAAAAACTTTTACACTTATTTGCTCTCGGCTTAAATAAAAACATAAATTTTTTAATCTAGGCATGCATCGAGTATTGTAAATTGGAAAAGCTGAAATCACGTGCATGTATTGATGAACATATATGGTATGCTCCTCACATGGAGATACTATGTGGCAAAAGTAAGTTAGAACTTATAAATATTTCACACCATAATCGTATTTTTAAAGTATTGTTATTAATTAATAAAATAAACAACTATTTATATTCATTTTTGAAGCAAAAAAAGTATTTTTCTATGGCAGCAGGTTTATCATAATTGTCAAGAAAGTTGCACAGTGCGCCGGAATAAACTAACCACCCTGAATAACTTTTGATCTAATGATCGGATCTATTCAAATTCTAGAACTCATTCTTCATGGTTCGAAGGGATGACCTCAAATATGCGAATATTGAACATATTTCCCAAATTGCAGCTAATCCTTTTATTTTGGGAATTAAAAATCCAAATACATTGAAAAATTATATGTTCATTCAGAGGAAGTACGTTTTTGTGTCTGATTTCTTAACTTAAGTTATTGTTTGTTCCAATTCATTAGCATATTTGAGATCATCTCTCCAAACCATCAAGAATGAATCCTAGAACGTGAAGATCCGATTATTAGATCAAAAGTTAATCTGGATGATCCATTTTTTTATTTTGCGCGCTGTACATATGTTTTCGAGAAACATTTAAAAAAATGGTTCATTATATGAAGAAAAAAGCATTTCATTTTAAAATAAAAAAAATATTATTTATTTTGTTTTTTAAGAATTTTATCGTCAAGTTATTTTGCTATGGTTTATTATAATTTTCTAAAGGAGTTATTGACTTAAGAATATACGGCTGCATTAAGAATATAATATTTCAAATACTTAAAGGAAATTACTGATATTTTCATTAGGTTAACATCATTTTTATGAAATAAAATGTCAAATTAAGATGAACCAATGTGAATAAATTACATAGGAAGTTATTTATACAAAAATATTCTCATTGACCATTTAGTCCCGTCTTATACCTCGCCATCCAATGAGTTCACCCGGATTCGATTCCAGCGATGGCTGATCGATACGAATTCCACACATTGCTTGATCAGCCACACTACTGACGGAAACTGTCAGCAGTGGTAGACAGATCATGGGTTAGAGTCCCTTTGCCATCAGGTTGACAGTGTTAGGTTTTTTTTGGTTTCCCTCTCTATGTAACGCTAATGCAGATTAGTTCCTTTAAAACGTCCTCCACGAAGGCAGATTTCTTCCAATACTTGATCCAGGAGTTCTCTTGTCTGCTGGATGGGGTTCAAGATTACAAAGCTACGGAGTTGAACATTAGTAGTCGTAAACCTAAAAATAGGTCGGCAGTCCAACGATGGTAATGAAATAAAATAAAATATAGTTTAGGTAAAACTGAAAAGGTTGAAGCAGGAAATGCCGTATTATTCAATCTACGGCCAAGACCTGTAATTTGCGTCTTCTACATTTACAGACCATTGAAAAAAAAATAAAAGCAGTCATCTCTTTAAGGAGAGAAGCTCCGTGCATGGGCCAACAAAAACGAAAAATCCAATTATTTAGTTGTCAGAACATTGTGAAATATTTAGGACAACCCTTCCAGCGTGCATTCCGCAGCCAGTACGTTGTGACATTTTTCTTATTTTACCGCGTTTCCCCTCTGTGCAGTTTATGTTTATTACATCGTTATGCTAAACTGATCCGTGTTGAGGTCTTCTCTCATCTAGTAGGTGTTTATTCGTGTCGGATGTTGACGTAAAGGAATCAGTCACAGACATTTTAAAGCGGTATTTCGAGCAAAGAGTTTGATAAGAGCCGTGGTGGCTCAGGGGATAGAGCGTTCGCCTCCCAATGAGGTGAACCGGGTTCGAATCCTACCGATAGCTGGACGATACGATTTCCGCACCCAGTTTGCACTGTTCACAGTGCTCACGTAAACTATCCTCAGTTTCGGACGGATAATGAAACTCTACGAGTACAAAATTTCTCCCAATACTTGATGCAGGTGTTCCCTTGTCTTCTGAATTAAATTAAAAATTTCAAGGCAGCGGAATTAAACATTAGTAGTCTTAAATCCGAAAAATTGGGTCGGCTGTTCAGCGACGATTATGAAATAAAAAGATTTTGATGGGAAGGGAATTCTTCGGGTAAAACAAACTCTGCATTTGTCCTAGGGCAACTGTTTTTTTTTTTCGTCCCCTTTTCATTAATTCCAGTCTTGAAAATTAATAAATATTTATTAACCTGCAAAAAATTGAAAGTTATAATTACAAACAACTACCTAAATAAATAATTTTACGTTTTTGTTTTAAAAGCAGTATAAATAAGATTTCGATTATAGTGTTTTCTTATTTTAAACAGTTGTTGGAAGACACACTTCAACTTATGAAATAATTAAAGATTGTATCAGGAAATGCAAACCAGCATGCCGGTAAGTTTTAAAATGAATGTTGATTCAATGGACGTTATTTTGTTATTTCTTTAAGTGGACCACTTCAGGTTTTTCAAGGGAAAGTCAGATTCTTCAATTTTTACTGCAACATTTTATAAACATTTTTAATTTTGGCCTCTTAAATATTTAAAATGTTTGAAAGCGTTTCCAAAAATATTTGAGCACTCTTTTATATTGTTATCTAATACTTTTATCAATCTTTCTCCAAAATTGTCAATTTCTATATATTATGAAAGTAATCCTAGTGCTTATTCCAATTTCTTAAAGTGTACTTGTATGGTATCAATCTATTTTAAAATAAAAATAGAAAGGATCTTCTTCAAAATTGGAAAAAAATACTTATTATTGTAAAAACATATAAAGATTCAGTGTATTTTTCAATTTCTTTAGGAAACAAAATTCACAAGTTTCACACTTTTTGATATAATCGATAAAGGTTTAATTTGGAATTATTTTCGTTAGGTTTTACACCTTAATTACTTTATTTCACAAAATATTACGTTATCTTTCTCTGAAAGAACCAGTATCTGCAATAAATGTGAAAACAGCACCCTATTATAAAAAGAAGCACGAAATTTTCGTATAATCATATAATAATAGTAATTTCGAATTTTTAAAATTACTGTTCGAGTAAATAAATCATGAAAGCTAACTCTTCAGATAAATTTAGCAAAATAATTCAATTTTGGTCTGAGGGGTTATATATAGTGCACATAAATTGGTAACCCATTCACATTCTATGATTCAACCTTTAACGTTCGAGAGGGTGATCTCAATTATGCTGATAGTTAATACAGACGATAATTTAAGTTACAAGATAATACACAGAAACGTACTTTCTCTGAATAAACTTCCCTTTTTTGGCAAATTCGGATTTCTGACCTTTGAAATATAAGGGTTGGATGTAAATTGGAAAATATAGTTCCAATAGTTTTGTGAGAGCGGTCCAAAGTTTGGATTCCTTATTGGTAATGTTCCTTTTTGAGAATTTTGCCATATCTAGTGAATATTTTAAGTGAATTGAAAAAATTTTGCACGCTATATTTTTTATATATATTTATCCAAAGATAATTCCATAAAACACAGAGATGATTTGGAAAGCAGTCCAAATTATGGACTGCTCTCTTGACTGATTGAATCCTCCCTTAATATTGAGTCACATGTTAGTTTCCTATATAAAATTAACTTTTATTTACTTGTTTTTGTTTTAACATGCTGATTGTTAAGGGAGCAGACGTATGAAGTTACATATGATGAAATAGAATTCTCAGTTCGCCTGGTAAATATATTTAATATGCATATTTTATACTGTAAATACATTTTTTATTGCACTGTATCAATTTCAGATTAAAATTTCACTTGCATATTTTCAAAGACTGGATATAACTTGAAACTAAATTCTAAATTTTTATTGGTTTGTTCCAGTTATTGATCGCATTGAAAATTAACGAAAGTTAATACTAAATGAAATAAAACTATTCTAGACAATTTGAAAATAATTTTATTGATGACTCCATTTCACAGTAATTGGAATAAAACATTTAAGAGAAGACAGGTTTTAAGAGAACTTTAAGCGAATATTCTCTTAACATTCGGGAAAGCATTTAGGAATTAAAACTTCTAACGGATTTGTAGACTATGTTTTCTTTTCCTTATTAACACAATAAGAAACCAAATTAATAAAATTGTTGGAATGTGTGGAGCATTTTAAATTCACAGGAATGGGGAAAATGAGCATCTGAAATCCTTAACGCTAGACAGACGGGTGGGGCCAAATTAGTCCCTCTTGAATTTTATTAATTAAAAACTCATAAAAGGATTTACTGAAAGTGTTGAGCGTTTCTGACTCTTTATAATTTAATCTAGTTTAAGCGTCTATTTGAAAATTCATAAGTTATCCTTATAGCAACGTATATATTATAGAATCTTATGCCTAGAATGAGGGGTAGGGGTTTGATAAGCCCAATAGGTATTTGGCAGGTATCTGTTAACCCAAGGTAGTTTTGGGTATTAGGTACCCTTTGCTATAAATAAGATATCCCAAATTCATTAAAAAAACAAGTTCATTTCAACATATCTATAACTATTATTTATGGAAAAGAAAGAAAATCAGTTATCTACAAAATTAAAGAATACACTTAAAATTTAAACAGCCGCT